AAAAGTTGAGGTGGGGGGGGGGTGCAAATCGAAAATATGCTCCCGAGGGGGGCGCCAAATTGAATGTTTGTCCACGGGCGCCGGGAATGGTCGCTACGCCTCTGGTTCTCACCAGACTTATCTTCCACGCCCACTCGATACTGCGTCCACCTGACGGGAGACCTCAGATAACAGTAGACCACAGGCCGCACATCAACAAAAAAAATAACAAGGCTAAGCTTAGGCTCAGCCGCCACCCTGCACACCAAGAAATGGTGCCACACATGCGCAGAAACAAACAGAGGCGACCCTTCCCGGCGCCCGGGGACAAACTTTCGATTTGCACCCCCCCCCCCTCGAGCTTTTCCTTTTCCCCCTCCCCACCCCTCAAACTTTCCATTTGCAACCCCCGCTCGAGCTTTTCAGTTGCACCCCTCCCTCAAACTTTCGATTTGCACCCCCCCCCCCCTTCGAACTTTTCATTTGCACCCCCTCTCAAACTTTCAATTTGGCGCTTCCCCTAAGGTCTGCGCCCTGGGACATATGTCCCCCCCCCCGCCCCCCCCCCCCCTCGCTACGCCTCTGGAAACAAACACAATATGCCTAATACAATGTAAGGAATATGACAAACAAAGAAAAGAACTCCTCAGATACCTCACCCAAACAAACAAAATAATAACAACTGAAACATTACTGGCTATGGACGCTCCATCAACTCTGCATAGCCTGGTCAAAAATATATCCACCAAACTAAAGAATCAATCTAACAAGTTGCATAGTTAACACTTTAAATTTTTTTTTTTAAATGTAAAGATGAAATAAACATCACCCAATAACAAAATTCAGAACTCGCTCAATAAAAAAACCACATCCAAAATTGAAAGGGAACCAAATCAAATTAAATTGAACATGAACAAAAACAACAAATTAACCATCAAAAATACAGTCCGCGATATAATCTTGAGATTGAAAGCGGCAGAGGCGTAGCGATGGGGGGGGGGGGGCAGGGGGGTATATATGTCCCCGGGCGCCGACCTTAGGGGGTGCCAAAATGGGTTGTAAAAAAATTAAAGTTTCATTTTAGCTGCATTTTTCATTATAAATAGTTGGGGGGAGGGTGCAAATCAAAAGTTTGAGGGGGGGGTGCAAATTGAAAATTTGCTCCCGAGGGGGGGGTGGCGCCAAGTTTGACCCCGGGCGCGGGGAAGGGTCGCTACGCCTCTGGAAAGCGGACTATAAACCTCAAACAACAACAACATTACAAGCTTTTATTTAAATCACGTCCTCGTCAGTCGTCAGTCTAGATCGAAATGGCCGAGCGAAATTGCTAGCACTTCCAACTAACAGATACGGTTCGTAGTTGGATCGTGGGTCAAGACATAAGGACAATGCATCGTGATATTAAATTTTACTTAATTGGATGCCTAATTAATTTTTTTATGAATTAATACAAATTTTGACTGAATTAGTAGGCATTTCTATCCAACTACTCTACATGCGTCATCACATTCAATAGCGCGTCATCACGTTTAATAGGCGCGCAATGGTTTTTAGTCATGAAACTTTATTGTAAATAAAAACATGTAAAGTACTAAAAAAAAAATTCCTAAAAATGTTTGATTAACAAGCTTGTATGTACTAATGCACTAAAAAGTAGAAATTAAATTATATAGTATGATAACAAATGGAACCCACAAAGAAAGTTCAAATGATGCTCAATAAGAGGAGGGTGCAACAGTAACACAGATAGGCACTCGCCTATTTCTGTGACTTTGTCATATGGGAATATGAAATGACGTGCATTGGGTATAAACATAAACAGCATGTTATAAAACTAACAATTAATTTATTTATTTTAATTTTTTTTAAAAATCTACCTTCTTGCCCGCAAGTAAAATTAAAAATTATACTTTTTAAAAATATAGTTTTAAAGGATCCTCAAGCGTAGGTTTATCATTAAAAGAAAGAGGTTAGTTTGTTGAGGATGAATCTCATATATCGTGATATTAAGTGCAAATGAATTATCTCCCATTTGAAAACTAGCCAAGGGATGTAACGTGGAGTTGAATAGCTAAAAAAACAAAGAAGAACAAAGACACCTGTAAAAAAATATAAAACAGCAGCGTAAATGTAGATGAACAATGTATTCAATTAATCAAATATATGTATTATAGAAATTTATAAAAATCATATTATTAAATTATTTACTACTAAAAACAATATAAAATTTATAAGCTTAAACATATTAGCATTATTTTTAGACATAGTAATACAAGTACAATCCATTCTATTAAATTGTGCTCTTGATATTGTGTAAATATAAATATTTTGGCTCCCCTGAAAGGGGGAAATTATCGAAGTGATAGGGCAGGGGTCGGCGTCGTGCGGCTCTCGGCTCTTCAGCTCCATGCACAAATAATAATAACGAGCCGACCCGCAGCATATCATACGCCGCTATTTAGTTGTTGTTTTTTCTACTTTTCACTAATTCATAGTTTGTGAATTCGACATTACCAACGCTGCCACTGAGAATATTTCTTTAAAACACTATAATTGACTATAAGTAGTTCGTTAAGGACGATAACCCCCCTCCCCCCCCCTTCCGTTAAAGCAAACTCCACTTAGTTACCCCCCCCCCCTCCCCCCTACGTTTAAAATCGCTTCAAACTAAATTTCCTCCCCCAAAAAGCCGTCACTAAACCCGGCTCTGCTTGTAAACATTTTACATGAACCACAGCTCACCAGACCATGTAGGGGTTGGCGTGGTAGGGAGCGCGCTTACAGCTTGTTTTCCAGCGTCTCCCAGAAGAGAATTATATAGGCCTACATAGATTATTTTATTTTCAAAAACTCATCAAAATATTGTTCTGCAATAATAAACATAAACAATAAACACTCGCTATTCTATTAAAATATTTAGGTACGCCATATTTCAATGTACTTCCTATTAACCTGTCTATCCCAAATTGCAACATTCAACTTCAAGGTGGAGATCACAAAGAAACTAAACGAGCTAATAGTAAAACTCAGTGGCGTAGCGAGGTCGGGTGTCACCCGGTGCGGCACTTAATGGGTGTCACCCCCCCAGAGGCGTAGTGACCCTTCCCGGGGACAAACTTTCAAACTTTCGATTTGCCCCCCCCCCCTCAAACTTTCGATTTACACCCCCTCCCCCCAACCTTTTCTCTATATATTTTGCTATTTTTTGCTTTGGTGTCACCCCCTAAATGGTGTGACCCGGTGCGGTCCGCACCCCCCGCACCCCCCTCGCTACGCCTCTGGTAAAACTGCATGGGAAGGAAACCCCAGTGTATACCTTGCTTGAAGAAGATGATTGTTTCGAAAAAATGGTGTGTCCGCCCCTCCCCCGTGCTGCGATCGTCATTATGTAAGCTACTTAAAGTATTTTTTAACTCCAGTTAGCTATCCATTGAACTGGCAAAAAAACATATTTATTCTATATATCTTGCAATTTTTTTTGTGTCACCCCCCCCCCCCCCTTAAATTGTGACATCCGGTCCACATCCGTCGCCCCGCCTCGCGACCAGTGTTTCTTCCAGATTTTTTTTGTCTCCGGGGGGGGGAGGGGGGTAGACTCTTTTTTCGGGGGGGGGGGGGGAGGGCGGACATTGTTAAAAGTATATATTTCTTTATAAATGTCATTTCGTTCGGGGGGGGGGGGGAGGAGCCCCCACGAAGAGATGCCTGGAAGAAATTCTGCCCGCGACGCCTCTGAGTAAACCCATATAAGCTTAGGTCTTTACAATTGTGATGTGGTTATGTATCACCTTTACCCCTCTGTGATTTGCGATTACTTTGAGATGATCTAAGCTTAGCTTGCCAATGACTAATCAATTTGGTTTGTGTACATACAGCAGCTCTAGCTGGTACATACACGATGTCTGGTCAGCATTGCTTGATCATTTAAATGATTGGGATTTGTTGGTTGGGTTCTGATAGGGGAGGGGGGGGGGTTGATATAGATTATATTCGTACACCGTAATGTTCACAATAATATACTCTTGGCCGAGGATCGCCTCCTCTTATGTTTGTGACTATGTCTGGTACAGTGTCTGCAGTGTTTCTTTCTGACATTTTTCTCCGAGGGGGGAGGGACACTTGATATTTTCGGTGGGGGGGGGGGGCGGATTAATTTTCCTTTGGGGTGAGGCCACTTGTAGAAGATAGGATTTCTATATGAATTCTATTTCTTTCGGGGTGGGGTGGGGGGGAGCGTTAAACTTTCATCCCCCCAAGAGATGCCTGGAAGCAATACAAGATATGCTATACTGTTTCATTATTCAAGACACATCAATCCCCTACTCCTGTCTAACCAGTCTACATAGTTTACTCCTATCTAACGAATCTGCAATCCTACTCAACTGTCTCCTAACAATATCTAACTACATATACTGCCTAAACAGGTCTAACCCTAACACTCTACTTACCAAATCTTCTCTAACATTATCTATCTCTAACTGGCTGCACACAGGTCAAATGGTCAGCTGACCGTCGCACGTGACTTGTCATCTCCTGTTACAATTCGATTGGTTCCTTGACTGACCAGTGTCTACCTCACCTACCTATAATAATTCCACCTAGGTTAGGTTTGCCTGTCGTCCCTACTGGGACATAGGCCGCTGACAAGAGCTTCCCAGACGTCTCTGTCCTGGGCTAGTCTCTCTAACTGTCCCCAGGTGTATCCAATCTTCTTGTTGTCTTCTTCCAGGTCACGTCTCCAGGTCTTTCTTGGTCTGCCTCTCCTCCTCCTGCCCTGTGGATTCCAGGTGAGGGCCTGTCTTGTTATGCTGGATACAGGCTTTCTGAGTGTGTGGCCAATCCATTTTCATTTAATTCTACCTAACCGAAGCTTGTCTATCTCTTGCTTTTTTACATAAGACGTAATTATATCTATCATCAACACGTGTTCTGTGGAATGGGTGGGTTTAGTGATAGAGAGATTTAGATAAAGACCGATCGATTAAAACAAAACGAGGGAAAAGAAATCAAAAGAGACAAAAATGGAAGAGAAAGTAGAGAGATGGATGGAGAAAAATGAGAACGTAAGAAAGATTGAGGGAGAGATCGATCAAAAGATAGATGGAAAGAGATAGAGAACGGTAAATAGAAAGGGATAGTGTACACTACAAAGAATAGTGTCAAGACAGCATAAGGGACGTAGTAGTCAAACAAAGGTGAGTTAATTGTTGACCAACCTGCCTAAATCTGCTTCATTGATTGTGCGGATTTCCCTGACATTGATGTGGTATAGACACATCGGATTACCTGGATAGACCATGCGTCATCCCCTTGCTCATTCCCCAATGACATTAAGTGCAATTTTATGCTTACTGATTAGATCTCTCTTGGCCCAAGGTGTAAGTCTTACCTGACGTGTATTTTTTTATCGAATCGGTGTATATGGGTCATTTTGTTCAGACCTTTATGTCGAAAAACAAACAGCCTCGGTAATATGCACATATATATATATATATATATATATATATATATATATATATATATATATATATATATATATGTATATATATATATATATATATATATATATATAACGTAAACATGATAGCATGATTCAATGTCAAGGTCAAACAGTACCCTACTTGACAGAAAAATTGGTAGAATCGGTTACACGTCTGACTTGACGCACGGAAGGCGAGGCGATTTGGTGCCGTGTGGAATGGTAGGTTCGGATCCCGTTGGGTTCTGACTTTTCTGTCTTTACATGGACTATATTCTGTACCTTTGTCTACCATTGGCGTTGAAATATCACTTTCGGTTTTCTGTTGCAATGGATCGAAATTGGCGAGCGAAACTTCGTCCACTTTTAACCGACCAATTTCATTGAAACTTGGCACGTGTGTCAAGATCTGATGACAATGCAATGTGACATCAAATGGGACTTAATTAGAGAATTAATTAATTTGTTAAAGAATTAACGATACGCACATTTTTTTAAATTTTCATTTTAGCGCTTTATTACAAAAATATCTTTATTAAAAAGTTTTACGCATTTTAAAAAATGCTTTCTATTTCTTTCGTGCTCCCCCCCCCCCCATCACCCTCTACACAACCCTAATTCAATACTGTGGTCAGCACTATGTCCAGCCGCCTTTCCTTTCCCTAACGTGAGTTGAGTACATCAGTCAGGTACATCAGAGATGGGTGGACTCAGGGACGGTCTACTGACTTGAACCCGGATTCGAACTCGAGACTCACGGGTTAGCAGTCCAACTTTCTATCGCTAGGTCCCTTGTCTCCCCCCCTCCACCCCCCCCCCCCCCCCCCCGCCCCAAACAAATTTCGTTTTTGTTACAGATAATTTGAGATTTACAAACCACGCGCAAAATCACGTGATCTAATGTTTAACATCCCATGTAAAAATAAACGTCCAACTGCTTTTTTTGTCTATTTTCACAAAGATTGTATGTAGGATAAAGTTATATTTGCGTATACCTATGCATACACCAAACTCTGACAAGTAGCCCGTAGGCCCAATGTAACAGTAATATCTTGCTGAGTCTGTTGCAATGGTCATGTAAGGAATTAATGGATTTGGGTAATCGCCTGCATTTGCCATATTTAAGCATTGAGTATCTCTTGACTGCGTACATCTCTCTGCACAAATTTTGTGGGTTTTTGAAGTAAGTATATGAGTCCGTAAACCTTTAAAACTTCACTTTAATTAATAAATAAAATATATTAGACTGTGTATGTAGTGAAAGAGTGAAGGGGGATGAATGGGGGTAAATGTTGTTGTACTTGGTACCCTGTCCCGTTCGACTTTCTTCAGTTCTCGTGCTGTGAGTTGTAATAGTCCGGTTTGTACCAGTTTATGAAAGGGTATATAAGGTGTATGAAAACGTGTGTGATGGCCTTAGTTTTGTCCAGATCTCCAAGAATAGTACAGGTTAGGTTTAGATTAGTTTGTAGCCACTGGATCTTAGTTTACTAGCTTGTGTATTTTGTGTTTAGACTAGACTATTATGTGTAGATAGAGTATATACTATTAAATCTTTTAGTTTTCAACGAGCCTTTGTTTCATTCAGTCTTCTTTTGTAACCCGTTTGTGGTTGTTTGTCTTATATGTTGCGCTACGCATCGGATCACCCGAAAGGCGTGTCCGTGTGTTCACAACAGTGTAAAATACGAAAATGAGATAAAAACAATATAGAATTTTATAATTGGATCATTCGTCTTGTTCGATAATTAGGCTAAGTAAGCCCAATATTTCGAACCTTACGTCAATGGAGCAGATGAGCACCACTTAACTTCTATGATTGGGCCAAATCGATGGATATTGTGGTCAGCACTACGCCCAACTGGGTGGGTTTCATGGACTTCTCGGGATCTGAGCTCGATGTTTTAGATTTAGAAGTCGAGCTTTCAACCATTCGACCAAGCCAGTGTTTCTTCCAGACTTTTTTCTCCGGGGGGGGGGGGGGGGGGGGGGGCACTTGAAATTTTCGGGGGGGGGGGGGGGACGGTAGACTTTCTTCGAGGGGCCGGAAACTGTTAAAAGTATATATTTTCTATATAAATTATATAAATTTCATTTCGTTCGGGGGTGGGCGGTAAAAAATTTTCGGGGAAGAGATGCCTGGAAGAAACTTTGGATCAAGCTACACTCACCCCCACTCCCACCCGCCCCAAAATAAACCAACTCTACTTCAATTTTGGAAATAACAGTTACAGAAAGCGGGTTAGTTATTGTGACCTTACTTCTTTTATATTTACAGATCATTTACAGATATTTACACGATGAAATCAATTAGCTACATTTTAGCAGTAATCTGCTTGATTGAGCATGCAATAAATCATACCGCTCATGGTAAGTTTAAAACATCGATAAATCTTATGGACGAAAATGGCACTACTTAATCCAGTATAGTTTTTATAAATATTAACATGTGTCTGCAATCCCAAGGTTCCCTTGTTCGCACCCCACCCTCCCCCCCCCCCTCCCCCAGGACAGGTAAACAGGTTAGACTTGTCACCTGGGGACAGCAATGCCTCTGATCAATCCCTTAGACTCCAAACTACGGCCCGCGAGCCGGATGCGGCCCGCGAGGTCCTCTCATCCGGCCCGCGGAAAAAAACCTTTGTTGGTGATGGCTGAGGAACTTTTGCCCAGAAAAATCAAAGACAAGCCTGGAACTAACTGGCCCCCGAACTGAAATTTGATAGTTAATGCGGCTCTCGGGCTGAAAAGTTTGGAGACCCCTGCCTTAGACTACATGATTAAAATTCGGGCTTCCTTTCGACAGCTTCTGCAAGATGGTGCCAAACGTACTGCTTAGCATTCTTTTGGACTATACAGGCATAGGCCGAGAGAGAAATCACGATGAATGGACAAACAATGATCTCTGTATCGGGAGCCGGAGATTTTTCCTAAAGATACTTGTCCGAATGTAGTTTGCCCAAAGGTTGATTTCCCGAATAGATACTTGCCCAAAAGCAACAAGTGTCCCTTCTGGCGTTTATTGCATTCGGGCAAGTGTACATTCGGGAAAACGGCCTTTTTGGCAAACGGCATTCGGGCAAGTGTCGTTCTGGAATTTGCCGTATATTCTCCGTATCCAATGACATGGTTCGCTCCCCTAGATTTTTTTCCTGTAGGTGCATTCAATTTTACCAACTCAAAACTGAGGCATATGTATTACTCAGTGTTTTAAGGTTCACAATGTTTGAAGTTGAAATGGAAATTCACGTGCGCCTAACGTATCTAAGAGAGAAGGACTCAAACTCCTCTATAACAAAGCTATTTACTTACCTGTTGATACTAGTCTTTTTTTTACATGATACAGATTAAAGTTTTGTTTGAAATCCTAACTAATCGCATTATAGTCAAAACTAAGTCTTAAATAAAAAAATAGTCATTAAAAAGTTTTACAGACCCTTATATAGGGTTATTTATTCTTAGATTATCTCTCCAGTTTGAAGGTAAATAGTATATAACTTTAATACTATTAAAATCGTATCTAATGTTAACCAGTATTTCTCCAGTAAAATCCTAAAGTACGTCGAAAATGTATACAATGCCAAATAGTTATGTGAAGAACTAACACAAACCGAATTGATAGAATCCAGTTAACCCTCGACAAGTAGCTTGAAGACCTCGATTGTGTACATATTAATCAAACTGTTCTCACAACAACAGCAACATACTCAATTCAAACTAAACAAGAACTAAAGGCAGGCTTAAAGATTCTAATGGAGCTCCAGTTGAGGTACCAAAAACAAATAAGAGGTCAATGGCTTCACATATCGAGCAATTGTAGTATACAACAATTGGGGAGAAGATGGGGACATCGAAAGCTACATTTTGGACATCCATAGCACTTTCTACGCTCTTCAATATTCGATTATCAGAGTTTCTTCCAGGCATCTTTTCGGGGGGAGGGGGGGCTTTGTCTCCCCCCCCCCCGAAAAAAATCTACCGCCCCCCCCCCCCCCCCCGAACGAAATGAAATTTATATAATTTATATAGAAAATATATACTTTTAACAGTGTCCGCCCCCCCCCCCCCCCCGAAGAAAAAGTCTGGAAGAAACACTGACGATTATGTAACGTAAAGTGAAGCATATACGCCTCTACAGTTCTGAGACGTAAGGGGAAGCAGAAACTAATGATACAAATTTTCAGACCTTCGTTATGTGATCACTATGTCAAATATCAGTTGAGCTGGGCAAGTTACTATCGCCAATCTACATAGTCGATCCGAGCAAAACACTATTGGCAAAGAAGTACCAAACCCAGTGGCGTAGCAAGGTCGGGTGTCACCCGGTGCGGCACTTAATGGCGTCACACCCCCCCCCCAGAGGCGTAGCGACCCTTCCCGGGGACAAACTTTCAAGTTTTCGATTTGCACCCGCTCCCCCCTCAAACTTTCGATTTGCACCCCTCCCCTCAAGATTTCGATTTCCCCTCTCCCCCCCCCCCCCCTCTCAAACTCTCGATTTGCACCTCCCTCAAGTTTTTCTCTATATATTTTGCTATTTTTTGCCTTGGTGTCACCCCCCCCCCCCTATATGGTGTCACCCGGTGCGATCCGCACCCCGCCCCCCCGCCCCTCGCTACGGCCCTGACCAAACCTAACTTAAATTCTTAATAGATAATGCTATTTCGAAATAGGTACACACAGATTACAAAGAAAAGTAAAGACCTCTCTTTAGACCTAGCGATCCAGCGGGCAGATGTGGAGTTAATATATTTATTGACCTCGATATAGAAAAGAATAATGTGGCCATTACTATGTCTAACCGCTTTTACTTTCCTTAATTTAAGTTCGGTACCAATCAGAGCTGGGTGGACTCAGTGACGTTTCACTGACTTGAACCCGGATTCGAAATTGTAACTTTCCGGTCAGCATTCTTGCACTCCACCGCTAGGCCACGCCGTCAAATATGAAAAAAAAAAAACTATTAGGTTCAATATTTTCTTCAATATTTTACCTAGGTATTCCGTCAACGATATTTTATCCGCGAACATATGTCTTTTGTACTTAAATTATTTGTCATCCAATCTTTGTTGGTGAAATTATTTATCCTTAAGATAATTAACCTGAGATATTTTGTCCCAAAATCACAATTTCTTCTTGAGATAATTAGATACCATGTGTCCTGAAATAATTTGTCATTTCACCATTCTTATATATATATATAAGTATATATATATATATATATATATATATATATATATATATATATATAGCGAATATATTATATACTATGGATAAGTAAACTAAATCCTTTTCTGTTAAGCCCAGTGTACTTTCATCGGCCTGAAGCAGCTACTGATTCCTGTTACAACATTTCAGGTAAATAATAGAGTGTTTACATTAATGATTGTATTTCATGTATAATAGTTTGTTCTTCACGCTTTTACTTTCTCACATACGAAGTATAGAGGAAGTTTTGTAATCGTGCAAAAATCTCGACGTTTAACACCTCTCCGAGTCGGAAAAACATAGATAAGGATTAAGATTAAGATTAGGTTAGGATTATAATTAGGTTTACGGTTACGGTTACGGTTACGGTTACGGTTACGGTTACGGTTACGGTTACGGTTACGGTTACGGTTACGGTTACGGTTACGGTTACGGTTACGGTTACGGTTACGGTTACGGTTACGGTTACGGTTACGGTTACGGTTACGGTTACGGTTACGGTTACGGTTACGGTTACGGTTACGGTTACGGTTACGCTTACGCTTACGCTTACGCTTACGCTTACGGTTACGGTTACGGTTACGGTTACGGTTACGGTTACGGTTACGGTTACGGTTACGGTTACGGTTACGGTTACGGTTACGGTTACGGTTACGGTTACGGTTACGGTTACGGTTACGGTTACGGTTACGGTTACGGTTACGGTTACGGTTACGGTTACGGTTACGGTTACGGTTACGGTTACGGTTACGGTTACGGTTACGGTTACGGTTACGGTTACGGTTACGGTTACGGTTACGGTTACGGTTACGGTTACGGTTACGGTGAGGATGAGGATGAGGATGAGGATGAGGATGAGGATGAGGATGAGGACAATTATAAGGACAAGGACAAGGACAAGGACAAGGACAAGGACAAGGACAAGGACAAGGACAAGGACAAGGACAAGGACAAGGACAAGGACAAGGACTGGGACTGGGACTGGGACTGGGACCGGGACCGGGACCGGGACCGGGACCAGGACCGGAACCAGGACCAGGACCAGGACCAGGACCAGGACCAGGATTAGGATTAGGATTAGGATTAGGATTAGGATTAGGATTAGGATTAGGTTTAGTATTAGGATTAGGATTAGGATTAGGATTAGGATTAGGATTAGGATTAGGATTAGGATTAGGATTAGGATTAGGATTAGGATTAGGATTATGATTATGATTAGGATTAGGATTAGGATTAGGATTAGGATTAGGATTGGGATTGGGATTGGGATTGGGATTGGGATTAGGATTAGGATTAGGATTAGGATTAGGGGATTAAGTCTAAAGTTTAAAGTATCGGCGGTCAAGTGTCAGGGGATTAAGTGTCAACGGATTAAGTGTCTGGGGATTCGATATATGACGATTGTGCCGGGGAATCTGTTTTTACGCTAAACCTCTATTATGCATTTAGAATGCATCTAAACGTTGGTTGTATTCCATTAATCACGCATTAGACTATTTTTTAAATAACAATTTTCTCGGGTCAGAAATGCCAGGACTCGTGTTTAGCCATACCAACTTGCGTCGCCTTCAGATTTTCTACCGGGGATTGCATCAACTATGCCACAGCTGACTTGGCACCGCAGGAGGATATGACAAACTTCAAGTACTGTCAGGGTATGGTCATTTAAAATTAGTAGATTTCCATGGGGTCAGCGTGGTCGAGTCGGTATAACTAATGGTTACTAAACTGAAAAGTCACGATTTCGAACCCTCGGGCTGACGAGGCTCCATAGCTGGCGACAACTGCTGCCTTGTGGTTTGTTTTTGGTTGGACAAAGGCTATGTAAGCAAGTCCAAAAAGAAAAGCAGGCTGAAAAAGCAGTGTGCATAAACAGTTGACACGTAGTACATAATTACGTTGGAGGGAATTCCTTCCAAGACTAAAATTTAGGACGAAGAAGAAGAAGTTGATTTCCGTTTCGGTTAAAGTGGATGATACTTGTTCTATGACACCGGTATATCCAGAAGCGTGAGAGTTGTAGGTGCAGGTGAGAAATTCTCTTACGGGTGTCGCTTTTAATAATACTTACACGTGGGAATGTCTTATTTACATATAGCATTGATACCATATGAAAATGTGGGTATATATATATATATACATATACATATATATATATATATATATATATATATATATATATATATATATATATATATATATATAATATATATATATATAATTTCCCGTTCATAGAGTTCATCTGCCTCAGAAACCTCTGCATATGAAATATGAAGGGAAAGTGTGGGATAGTGCTGTGCAGTGTGTACTCAAGGTCGTTTCTCTGATTTGAACCCTGATTCGAACTCGTGATTCTCGGTTTAGCAGTCTAGCTCTCGATTACTAGGCCAAACTGTCCCCGTATTTAAATATATTAGACGACAATGACAGCCAGTGTTGTCATTTCTTTCTTCAATCCCCCAAAATATCTGTAAGTTTATACCGTAGATCGATGGTATTATGCTATTAATTGTAACGTAATACATGTAGAAGCCTATATCAAGTTAGAAAACTGACGTTTCTTAGTGGTGTGTTGTTATATATCTTACAGTAACATACAATGACGGCATACTAAGGGTGTCGGACCTAGATAACAGCCGGAGCACATTTTTGTAAAGGTAGGGTAATGTTGGTTGGAGGGGGGGGGGATATTCTGGGATGGAATGGTTACAAGTAGGAATTAATGTTAATGAGTTATTTTCGTGTTACACGACCAATGATTTGAGGACGGACGAGGTCAGAGAAAATATCCCAGAAAAAAATATCTCAAAGAAAAAACAACACAAAGCAAAGTATAATAGATCAGATAATCAGACGGGCAAGTGATCTCAGAGACAAAATTTAAGGGGTGAAAGTATATTCTCTAAAACATTAATAAACAAACCATTATATTTCTTTTATAATATATCCTGATATTACCTTATTTTCATTGGTGACCCGTCAAAAGAGCGCACGACAAAAGAGCGCCGACATAAGAGCGCCGACATAAGAGCGCAGCCAATGAAAAAAAAAACACATGTACGCTAAACGAATTTGGCATGGTTAACACTTGTTTTAATTAAACAATCGGCGGTACGATACAACGACGTGTTTATTTATATATTACGAGCCGACCCGCGGCATATCATACGCCGCTATTTAGTTGTTGCTTTTTCTACTTTTCAGTAATTTATAATTTGTGAATTCGACAGTGCCAACGCTGTCACTGAAAATATTTCTTTAAAACACTATAAGTAGCTCGTTAAGGACGATAACCCTCCCCACCTCCTCCCCCCCCTCTCCGTTAAAGTAAACTCCACTTTGTAACCCCCCCCCCCCCCCCCCAACGTCTCCCAGAAGTGAATTATATATACAGATGTTTAATAATATGTTATGAATGTAGTTTGAAAATATTTCTAACCCAAGTAATATGGAGAAGATCGAATCACAGAAAGGAAGGTTATTATATAGTCGAAGGCTACAGATATCGAAAGGACAGATCAAATATGCTGATGGAAGTACGACATGGAGATGCTGCAAGAAAGATGGCTGCCGAGGACGGATGAAAATTCTGAACGGTGTTGTTCTGTCATCATCGGGAGGATACTAACAAAGGCAGGCGAAGGAGAAACCGTCGAGGTGACCCGCGCTTCACTCTTGCTATTTGGAATGTCCATAATTGTGTCGCTGAAAATCTACCCCGTACAAACAACTCTGTCGAGGCATGGCATCGCGCATTCCAACAAACGGCAGATTGCAATCATCCTTTTGTGAATAAATTGATCAATCAGTTTCTTCTGAAACAAGGTCACATCGAAATCGAAATGGAACGTCATCTAGCTGGAGATAATCAACCAGAAGCTTCAAAGAAAAAATATGTTCAGCTGAATCGAGGATTGCTTCAAACTATGCTAATGATTCAATGATGGACTATTATACGAGGTATAGCCCAGAACTTAGCAATATAAATGCAACTATAAAGAAACGTTTTATTAACTTAAATTTATTTTCATTTTGTTACATTTCATTTCAGTTTATATTCTCACTTTTGGCCTAACATTTAAAATCTGTGTATGTGTAATTAGATTGCGTATTGAATAATTGGACTTCGCGTTGATTGTACCAGTTTTTTAGTTAAAGAAACCGAACAATTAGTTTTTTTAATGAAATAATAAAGAGTTAACATCAAACGATGCCTACTGATCTGAGTTAATTTTCTTGTTCCTATTTATTAAATATGGTTTTTCGATCTTTAGTTTGCGCTCTTATGTCGGCGCTCTTTTGTCGTGCGCTCTTTTGACGGGGTGCCATTTTCATTAGTTCTTTAGTTGTTTTTTAATACAAAATAAATAAAGTGTTGTGTGTGTAAGTAGTTTTATTATTATGCCAAAAAAAGTTTGTTTTTTTTGTATATTCTAGTGAAACGACACATATTTTGAACCTGCCAACTCTTAACGTGAGTGATTTCTGATGATATAGTATGAGTATTTAAATTGAATGGATACTTTGCGGTTTTAATATTCCACTTACATCAGTATAGTACTGATACTTCCTTCTACCTAACCACATTAATCCAGCATTTCAAGTCTGCCTCAATTCACTGCTATATATACTTATATATATATATATATATATATATATATATATATATATATATATATATATATATATATATATATATATATATATATATATATATATATATATATATATATACACTTTCTTTTCTCTAATATCAGATATCCAATAAAAAGGGAAACAAGAGAGTTGATGTCGTTTGAATATCGTCTTCATCTGAAGAATCGATAACATTTTCATTTTGAGCAGCTTTTTTATTTATATTTTAAAGTTTATTTCAAATAAATATTATTTTGTTTCTCTTGAAGATATAAACAGTTATGCTGGTTCTATTATTTATAATCTGTGGACTATATGTCTGTGTATATTTGTATTGAATAAATTCTATGTAACACGTTTTTTGTTTTTAATAACGTATTCGTAATTATATATTAATGCAGCGGGGGGGGGGGGAATATCTTATCCCCATGGATTTTTATGGCTTGTTTTGTGCTCGTTATTGCTTTGATTTTTACTTTCTCGTATAGAGAAAGTCTTGTAATCGTGCAAATCTCGACGTTTTACATCTCACTGATACGGAAAAACATACTTTTGCAATCTTGTCCGTATGACTGTGTGTGTGTGTCTGTCTGTCTGTGTGTAAACACGATAACTTGAGTACCGTTACAGCTAGGTTGATGAAATTTCATATATAACTATTTTATCAAAATCGTACATCCTGATCAATTTTTGAGCGATTTCTGATAACCGGAAGTGGTACTTTTTCTACTTTGAATTTTTCAAAAACCTATAACTTGAGTACTATTCCAGATAGATAAATGAAATTTCACATGTAAGTAAAAGATATAATCGTCTGCCTTCTGTCAAATTTTGAGTAATTTCCGTTGACCGGTAGTACTAATTTACGCTATTTTCGATTTTCTCAAAAAAACGCATGTAAATTTATAAAGTACTAATAATATTGCGCACTATTATGCACATTTTGTTTTGGCGTTCGCTTGGTGCGCAATTCTTTTTTTCTATGATATTCAATTCTATTTTTAAAAGTTTAAGTAATTAAAAATCATGTCTATATTTCAAGTAATATAAAAATAAACGAGAAAGTTTAGGGGAGATCACTCCCGGTTTATTCTTTATTTGACACAAACATAATAATGGACTATCCAAAGCAACGATCCAGGTAAATCTTCCAGGAGGGAGAACAAGGAGAAGGCAACGACCAGTGGAAGGAAAACATCAATTATCCCCCTTTGTCGCCGTTTACAGAACGATTCAGAGAATTAGAGGAAAGGGATGGCGAAAATGTAATCGAATATCAAAGGCGGTGCTGTTACGACCCCAATAAAAGTTAATGGCTGATTAATGAATTGATTAATTACCTCAATGATTGCTTCATTAATAAAATTTTATGTTAATGTGTGTTAATACTGACAAGCCGGTTGTAAAGCAATGCTTCCTGTCCGGCAGGTGGAT